CTATATGCCCCCTTTTTTTTTTTTTTTTTTTTTTTTTTTCTTTTCCCCCCCATTCAGCTTCACCTGAGTGGCGGCGTATCTGACGCTCGCAACATAAAGCAAAAAAAAAACAAAACGTTTTATGGTTTGTATGCCAGTGACCGACAGGCGACGGGTCTCCGGGTGCCGAGTGCGTCCGCGCCCGGCGAGGAATGGCGGGTCCAGAAACTAGACGGACAGACGGGCAGCCCGAGATGAGCCGCCTGCTGCGTGAGCGGCGGTTGCGTCAGCTCGAGCGTGACGGGTGGCGGCCGAGTTGAAGTGCAAACGTTGGCCGCGGCCGGCCAGAGTTTGACGACGACCGCGTCTCCCCAAAGGCCGGCACCAAAGTGTCGTATTCGTGTGGGAGCCTTGAACGGCGGCCCAGCCGTTGAGTGATCTCTCAGGATGCGCTCCTCAAACAAGAACGGACCGTTTTGCGGTGCTGGACTTGTTTGTCTTTCCTGCGTGGCCTTACGTCGGCATGCGGCGCAGCGGCCGTGTGTCGCTGCCACATTTTGCCCCGTCTTGCAAATTGAGCGCGTTTCAGCAAAGGTTTGGAAAATGAGCTCCTCCTGCCGGTCCCCACTCGTCTCGCTTGGCGGCCGCACGCACGCACCAGCCGCCGCCGCCACCGCCTCCGCGATCTGGAGAATCCATTTGGGCGGCGTCCAGTTCAGGACAGCCGCCGCTCAAGTGTTCCCATCCCGTCTGCTTGTGTTGGCCCGCCGACGTTTGCGCGCGCGCAGTCGCAACCGCCGCCGGCTTCGCGGACAGCGTGGATCCACCTTACGCGTGTCGCTTAGGCTTGAGGACGACGCGCTTTCTGCCCTGACGGGATAACCAAATACTTAGCCGGGTGGAAACAAACTGCGGTAGCGCAAGAATCCACATCAGTCGTCACTTTTTCCAATTTATTGCTCTGACCTAGAAATGGCAAGTCGCTCTTTGGAGAGCTTCTGCCGCTGGACCGGGATGCCGCTGCTGTGAATCTGAGCCTGTTCTGGGAGGTTTTTTTTTTTTTTTTGTTGTTTTTTCTGGCTTCAACCCTCTCCCGTAAGCGCCGGGCCACTTTCGAGTTTAAGGTGAAACATTTGCTCGGGAGTGAGCGTGAGAACCGTTACCGCTCTCTCGATGTGCTCCGAATGAACCGTCCCAAAAAAAAAAAAAAAAAAAAGGGAAAGGAAAATGATGACCAGATGGAGGAGAAAATCCCTCCATCGTAGCTAATTGTTTTCAGCGCTTTCTTTTTTTTTTGGGGGGGGGGGGTTGTTTTTTTGCACGGAGGCTCCCCGCACAGGTGGAAAGCGACGCAGGAAATTGGTCTGGGCGGCCGTGGCCTTCGCTCGATTTGACTCGGGGAAGCTCCCGATGGAGAATGTGTAAACAGCACGTCACATGCGTGCGCGCAAACGGCGAGGCCTTGGCCCTCAGCGGCAGCGGATTATGGGGGATTACGGGATGATCAGGCTCCCCGTCCCTCCCTGCGGCAAACCTGAATGCCCGGCGAAGTGCAAAGGAAGACCTCCCGAGTCGTTAGCGTCTCAAAAGAGCTCAAGCCCTCGTGAAAAGCAGCCACGGGGTTCCAGCCAGGACCAAAACAATCGGCGAGACCTCATGACTTTGATGCCGTCGCACATGCGGAGCTTCCCGTTTCCTAAAACCCAACCCTGTTCTATTGTGCGGAGCCCCCGGGTCGTTTTTGTCGTTCCCTCATCCTGCCATTTTCAACAAGAATTCTCTCCCGCCGCATACTGAAGTTGTGTGGATGCGCTGGAGACGCTCGATGGAGGATTGGCTGAGCCCAAAGTAAAGCGCGTTGCAGTCGTCCATCCGAGATGCGACGAAGGCACGAGTGACTGTTTGAGCGGCGCTCGCCAGAGAAAGGAGAGGCTCGACCTTAGCCGGCCGCTTTCATGTGATTCGATGAAGCGGATAAAAAAAAACCAACCAAAATGGCCCGATGGATTCATCATCATCACCTTAGCGTCGGTACGATACGATACGAGGGCTTTTTCAAC